ACCGAAGGCCAAATCCTTCTCCTACCCCAATCCCATAATCTCCAAATCCCTAATCCCCAAAAGGTCGGCAACACACTTCTCCGTTGTTGCGAGTGTCTATGGGAGGCGCTGATTGCTTACCATCAGGTAATCCGTCTGCTCGTTTGCCGACTTATCTACACTACTAATATTATAAATTGAATGCTAAAGTAACTCTGTCTGTCTGTCTGTCTTTTCTTCACGCCTGAAGTACTGAACCTTTCTGTGTGAAATTAGGTACAGACATTGATTGGAACTCGAGAAAGGGCATAGGATAGTATTTTTACCACTATTCGAACGAGTCGCGAGCAAAAGCTAGTAGGTAAGTATTACATCCTATAAAAAAAATACATAATTACTTTAACAAATTTGAATATCGAACTAAATCCGTGGCAATAAAGCTATTAAATCAATGATGCGTGTAATCCCTGCCATAAACCCGAAACCAGCTAAACGATACTATAATAGCACCCAAAAGAACTGACCTAATTACTTTTTAAGGGGGGAAAAGGTTGACATTTGGAGGTTAGATAGCTTTAGCCTTTTTTTTTGAAGAGGGACAAGGGACCAGGTATCTTCAAATGCCTTCTATCGGCCAGGGTATGCCGAGAGGAACTGTCAGACTCTTACTGGCTAAAAACCCCACCGTTCTGTCCTGTGTTCTCTCACACCTGGTCTTAGTCGAGGCCATGGTGCAGAGCGAGAGAAGGGACCTTACAGGGCTTTTTTTTGTGAGGGGAAAATCATCAAATGGCTGGGCGGGAGGGAGTGTCAGACTCTTACTGACTAAAAACACCCCCGTTCCCTTTCCTGCTCTGGGCCGAGGCTGCGGTGCCTCATTGCGCTTACCCCGCAACCCCGGCTGAACATCAGCCCTATAGGGCCCCGTCTGTGGTGGTCTATTGGCTCTTTGAAGCGCGCGCGGAACGCTACGCGCCGTACGCTCGATAGATACCTAACTAAGCTGAAGTAATTTACAAGTACAACATCAATTCTTCTTTTAAAACTACAATTCATAATTGTTAGTTATTTATTACTGTCTCGTCGCTTTGAACATTCAAGAATATATGTAGCATGAGTCATAAATAAAATAATTAAAATCTCATTATGTTTGATTGCGTCAATAATTCTTGTTTATTGACTAAACGCCTTTATTGTGTCCTTTAGATCACGTCGTGAGGTACCTAATTGCAAACCTTCTTCACTCTTCCCGTGGGTCTTAAAGCCGATTAAGGAACAATATAATTATTTAAGTGTAGGAGAGCTATGCTTCAGCGTGAATGTGTAGGTTCGTGATAGTGATAACACGGCCTCACAGAAAGCCGGCGTGAAACAACCACAGCGCTGTGTTTCGCCGTGTGAGTGAGGTTAGTGGAGGCCCAATCCTTCCCCTCCCCCAACCCCTAAATCTCCAGTAATTGTGGGAGAGCCAAGCTTCGGCACGAATGGATCGGCTCGACCGGGGTGATATCAGGGCCTCACAGAAAACCAGCGTGAAACAGCCACAGCGTTGTGTTTAGCCGTTTGAGTGATGTTACCGGAGACCCAATACTTCTGCTCCCCCAATCCCTAAATCTCCAAAAGGTCGGTAACGCACTCGTAACTCATCTGTTGTTGCGGGTGTCCATGTCCAGCGGTGATTGCTTACCATCAGGTAATCCGTCTCCTTGTTTGTCGACAGATCACATAAAAAAAAATATTAGACAGGGCCCTTAGCGCTTCCTGGTAAACTTGAACATTTTACACTAAGATCTCCAACCTCTGGGTCAAAATTATGGCCATGGATAACCTACTTTTATGTGGTATTATAGGCTTGTATAAATACTTCATAGTGGATTGTCATAGACTGTAGATGTATTTATGTGTAAATACCTAAGCCAATGACGTTTATCAACCTCGATCCTTAGCAGATAAGTAAAGTTTATGATAAAAATTTTGTTGTTGAGAAATAATACACGAACACATTATAGCAAGCATTTAAAACACTCAACGTAAAACAAAATAATGATTAATCGACTTACATGCACAAAAATCCCATGAAAACACTGTTTTTTTTTTCGAAAAAATAAACACAAAACACAATGTTTTCTTCCGAAAAATCCTTTAGCACAATACCGATGCAACACAGAAAAAATAAAATTAAAAAGTAAAAATACAATATGGACGACGTGCGCGACGTCCGACTCGCGAATGAATAACTAATTCAGTTTTCAAAATCGGAACGCGAACTGTCCAACATCAATTGACCTCTGAACTTCTATGCGATTCACCTTTGCTCTTCTAATTTAACATTACAGCGGGGGGCGAGGAAGGCCAATGTAGTTTGGTTATAATGCACGTACCTACCAAGTTTTATTATCAGTTTATGAACTAGATAGTCAACTTTATGTGGATGGCATAAGGTAGTTTTTTATATTTTGGGACTGCTGCTGTAATTTGGTAGATTACTCATATGGCAAGGTAGAGTAGTGATAAGATATACAGGCTGATAAAAATAAATCATATTTTTTTGTTCGTTGATAAGGGAGATTAATGTTATAGAATTAAGGGCTACGCAGAGATGAAAAGTAAGCTCAATGAAATCTATTTTTGATGTATGTAATCTACTTAGACACTTTTGTTATTATAATGTACCAATAATTTTTATTTTTATAAAACTTCCTTACTTACCTATATTTAGCCACGCCTAACATACTTGACTTATATAAAAAAACTGATTATCGCATATAATTTAACATGCACTTCTTTATAAAACATAAAAATAAATAAAACCATTTTACTTAAATTTGTCCATCCCAAGCATCGAAATAAATAAAAACGGAATGTGACATCAAATTTCAGTTCCTGAAAACGAAATGGCCCTGTATTTCAGTTTTAAAGAGAAATATCTGACATTCCAATTCAAATTGAAGTTCAGGCGAGGCTTCAGGTGTTGGACGATCTTGTTGTAAACGATAGCAAAATGAAATTTATATTATCACTAAGCATTTTTATTTTTGGTAATTGATTCTGGCGAGATACAATTAAGATTTTTATAAAAAAAAAAATTGCTGATGTTGGTAATCTGCCCGTGAATATATAATACCAACTGGCTCCCAACTCTGCACCTTTTTTTTTTTTTTATTGATTATAGGTTCGCGCTTGACCGCTATCTCACCTGATGGAAAGCGACGATGCGGTCGACGATGGAGCGCGCTTACCTAGAAGTAACCTATTCACTCTTGACTTAAAGATACCCAGATTGTAACTATCAGGAAACACCGACTCCGGCAAGGAATTCCACTCCTTGGCTGTACGCATGATGAATGTACTCCCAAAACGTTTTGTACGTATATGTGGGACATCCACCATGTACCGGTGGCGCAATGCCGTACGTCTGGTGGTCCGATGATGGAACGGGCTAGGCGGAATTAAATTATGTAATTCCAACGCACATTCCCCGAAATGCAACCGGTAGAAAACCGACAGGCTAGCAACTCGGCGTCGATGCTCAAGACTTTGAAGTCTCGACTCGACAAGTGCATCATCGCCAATGATCCTCTTGGCTCGCCTCTCAATAGACTCAAGCGCATCAAGTTGGTATCGGGCAGATCCGTCCCAAAGATGAGAGCAGTACTCCATAACCGATCGAACTTGCGCCTGATAAAGTTTAAGCAGCTGTTCCGGCGTAAAGTATTGTCTAACCCTTGCGAGGATTCCCAACTTTTTTGCAGCCAGTTGAGCTTTTGCTTCGATGTATGGCCCAAAATTGAGAGTAGATGTCAGCGTTATACCAAGAAGATCAAGATGGTCAGTTATCGGCACGGATACACCCCGGAAAGTTGGAGCAGGGCTAAATTGACTCCTTTTGCTGGAAAATAGACACGCCTGAGTTTTAGCCGCATTGAACCTGACCATGTTGGCGTCGCCCCATTTAGAGACAGCCTCCAAGGACAAGTTCAAGCGCCCAACCATAGCCTCTCGAAGAGTCTGGATCTGTGACTCACTAGCTCGTGCGCCGGACGTGTAACTCTCAACAACAGTGCTGTCGTCTGCATACCCAAAGGTACCGGGCTTAAGCAGGTCGTTTATGTGCAACAAGAACAATGTTGCCGAGAGCACTGACCCCTGAGGGACCCCAGCATTGATGGTCATTTGATTCGACGAGCAACCATCGATGACCACACGGATGGACCGGTCCCTCAGAAAGTCTGCGATACAAACACACCTGTCACCCCTCCCCCCAATCAGTGAGTCTGTAATGACAGTAGGCTGTTAAAGTAGTTACGAATTGCTTATTATAAAATCATTCCTCTTCTTTACGTACTTAAATCCGTCATCATCATCATCATCATCAGCCTAAAAGTGCCCACTGGTGCATCCTCAATCCTTACATCCCTGATAACACACAAAAGGTCGGAAAAACAAGTCAAGTGATACCACGGCCTCACTGAAAACCGGCGTGAAACAACCACAGCGTTGTGAGTGAGGTTACCGGAGGCCCAATCCTTTCCCTCACCTAATCCCTAAATCTCCAAATTCGTTAAGCCCAAAAGGTCGGCAACACACTCATAGCTTTATTTTTGGACATGGACACCCTCCATGGGCGGCGCTAATTGCTTACCATCAGGTAATTCGTCTGCTCGTTTCGTCGACCTATCACATAAAAATGCGCTCTCGAAACTCCTCCGTTGTTGCGTATGTCCATGGGCGGCGCTGATTGCTTACCATCAGGTAAACCAATCTATCACGTAAAAAACAATATTGCTAACCTCTTTTGCGGAATGATCGTCGTTTTTTTTTTAATTTTTATGTCCTCAATAATAAAATATGGATACTAATTAAAATAAGATCTTAGTTAAAAACGTGACTAATTCATTTGTTTTCAGAATCACGTTCTAACACGACAAAGACACGTGATTTTGGATAGTGATTGAGATAGATAATAATGTCATTAAAAGAGCACGTTATGAAAAACTTGGCGTGACATAACATCACTTTTATTATCTGCCGAAGGGTTTGGTAGAGGTGGTGATTACTTTAATATGTTTAAACTTTGTTGCAAGACAGTCCTTCATGTCCCTGGGACGCGCCGGACTTGAGAGTTCCGGTGTTTTCATAGTTGTGTCTACTGTAGATCCTTGTACAAAGGAGTTGCAGCAGTTTTTGGAGGTTATGGCGGGCTTGGTCTAAAAACAAAAAGTTTTGACTTCATATTGACTCTGTTCAACTTTGGAATGTAATTTTTATATAAATAGGTTGTCAGTCTCCTTGGGAAAATAATGTTGAAACTTACCATTTCAAGTTTACCATTTAGTTTATAAATAAATCTAAAAATATAACTAGTTGGTTTGTCTGTATGTTCCCAATAAACTCTGATAGAGACATCAAAATACTTTTTTTCTCGGATATGTCTGCAAACGAGCAGTCGGATTACCTGATGGTAAGCAATCGGCGCTGCCCATGAACACCAGTAACACCGCAGTGAAGTTCCAAGTGCGTTGCCGGCATTTTGGGGATAGGGGTTGTAGATGTTTAAAAAATTGAAAGGGATATGCGGAGGGGGAGATATTTTCCTCCGGTAACCATACTCACACGGCTAAACACAACATTTTAGTTGTTTCACGCCGGTTTTCTGTGAAGCCGTGGTATCACTCCGGTCGAGCCGGCCCATTGATGCCAAAGCATGGCTCTCCCTCACTTAAGTAAGATTTGAACACTGCTAGTCTGCTGTTTAAAACAACAACCTGTATATTCACGTGTTCATGTGTACACCTGTTGAACTGTTTGTGTGTGCGCGTGTGTGTGTAACATACGGATATTGTGTGGGCGAGGTGATGCGTGATTACGTCACGTAAGTGGCTCTATTTAGTATTTATTTATTTAATGGCGTAAGTGATATTTTTTGTTTCTGTTTGTTTGTGTTGTCATAACATAGCTGTGATTGCTAAGACAGAAGTTTCAGGCTCGATTCTGGGGTCTCAAAACCACACTATCAAAAAGGACATACTATTCGGTAGTAGGCTTATTACTAGTAGGTATCTAGAATAAATGACACAATGTTTAGAAATAAGCATAATAATTTTGAGGCATTAAATTTATTGCTATTTCTATTTAATTTTACTGTTTTCAAAGCAACCCAAAATACAACCCTAATTCTAACCATAAATAGATACCTAATCCCCCCTACATTCAATGATGTATAAAACTATAGATACGTCGTCCGCGCTCTAAAATGACAACATGAAATGAAGGCAATTGACAACATCGCGCTTAGTTACGCACCAACCTGCCGCGCGACGCTACGTTTGTTTTTAATTTAATATCGTGTGTGTAAACCTGTGCAAAACATAAAGAAAGCATGTCGTCGTGTGTGTTCAGACGATGTATAAATTATAATCCAAAAGTTAAAGACAAAAATGTGTCATTTCATGCATAAGTTCACCAAACAACCTATTTTTATTTTATTTTTTCGACGCCGGCGCCCGCCCTCTTATGGCGGCCGGCGCATGAAGGTATAGTCACGTGCCGTCGGCATAACTGAAGATGTATATTTATCTCCCTCTAGCAAAAGCATTCCACTATACGATGTCATATTTTCTTTCCCTTTCTTTACTCGTAGAAGTAGTTATCTAGTATTTTCGCCGTTTTTAAGCGCCGCGATGTTGGTTCATGACGTGTCTATATATAATACGTCATTGCCTACATTAGTTTCTTTGCACACAGGCACTGCATAACTTTGTGGGAATTTGCAAAACAATGTTCTGTTTGTACCTGACGTTTTTAAGAACAGAAAAACGAGACAATACCGTGAAATATAAATCGTGTATATCTTTTGACCTTACGCAAAAAAATGTCATCTTCAAAAACTTGCTTTAAAAAAAAAAACGATGCTTGACACTAGGTCTTTCTCTCCTGTCATTTTCTCATATCACGGCAAACTTTTCAAAAAATTCTGTTTGACGTAAAAGCATTATGACTTCATTTTTGTTGCGAGTTCATACAACAATCATAGAAAAATATAGATTTTGACATGCCAAAAAAAGTCTGAACAAAAATAAAGTCGAGCATTCCACCTAGCGTACTAACTCACACATACACTCGTCACGCATGACGTAACACACACTGGTGTAGTACCTGTGGCACGGTTCACGAAACACTATGGTTCAGTGGTTAGAAGCCGTCTGACACGGGTTCGATGTCCGCGCTTAGTTTTGAGGGTGGTGGTTGGTACTAGGTATATAATCATTCTGCATCATTATCAACAGCAGTGATAGTCCACTGTTGGATGGACTACGGCCGTCGACTATGTAGGTAAGCGGATTTGTCGTAATCTCCATACACGGCAAATGAGCTGATGGAACACCTGATGGTAAGCAATCAGCGCCGCCCATGGATACCCGCAACAACAGAGGAGTTACGAGTGCGTTGCCGACTTTTTGCGGATTAGGTTTTTGAATCACTCACTCACTCGGCGAAACACAACGCTGTGGTTACACAGCTACGGCACGAAATGGGTCGGCTCGACCGGAGTACCACGGCCTCACAGAAAACCAGAACCGAAGCCTCGGCTAAAAAACAAAAGACCTGACTTAGGAATGTAATATCAGTCTGCCGACTTGGCAGTCAATCTACCCAATCCGGATTGAGCAAGCGTAGTGATTAATGCTTAAAACTTCTCCGTGTGAGAAGAGGCCTTTGCTCAACAGTGGACACTTATAGGCTTATGATGATGATGATATTGACAGTGGCACTTCCAACCAAAACACTAGACATCAAGAGACGATCTCCGGCCACCGTTATTTTTTCTATTCTCTCCAATAGATCACCACAGACGAGGCCCTATAGGGCTGATGTTCAGCCGGGGTTGCGGGGTAAGCGCAATGAGTCACCGCGACCTCGGCCCAGAGCAGGAGAAGGAACAGGGGGGTTTTTAGTCAGTAAGAGTCTGACACTCCCTCCTGCCCGACCTTGGGCGGGAGAAGTCATTTGATGATTTTTCACTCACAAAAAAAGCAGACCACTAGACAAAAGTTGTAGAAAAAAAGAAATGATTATAATAATTACAGCCTTTTAACTAGCTGCTATGGTTCGGTGGTTTAACACCGTCAGTCACAGGTTCAATGCCCTAGTAAGTAACGCACGTGTATTTTTGCAAAATGTTATCGTTTTCCCATGAGTTTTGAATAAGGGTTGTTGTTTTTTGTTTTCTGTGGTTGAGTGAATCTCATAATTTGTAGATATAAAAGCGAAAGTTTGTTAATACGGATGGATGTTTGTTACTTTTACACGTATCTATTATTGTTCATCCAAATCCGAACTAATATTCTAAATGCGAAAGTAACTCTGTCTATCTGTCTGTCTTTTCTTCACGCCTAAACTACTGAACGGATTTCTGTGACAATTACTACAGACATAGTTTGGAACTCGAGAAAGGACATAGGATAGTTTCTATATAAAAAATCTGCAGGGAGTCACTGTTCCAAGCCAACTGAGTCGCGGGCAAAAGCTAGTATATCATAATTTATATAAGGTGGAATAGAAAATATAAAATTGTCACAGTTATGGACCCTGATGGACACAGCAAGCTAATGTTTTTTTTCATTGTCCCACAACGGTTTTTTCTCCTGTGTTGTAGGTGCATCTACAAAACAACAATTTCACATCACACACAAAGAGTTGTTCCGTGCTAAATTCGAACCCGCCACAAGTTGTTTAAGCGTCGGTGAGCCATGCTTCGGCACGAATGGGTCGGTTCGACCGGAGTGATACCACGGCCTCACAGAAAACCACAGCGTTGTGTTTCGCCGTGTGAGTGAGGTTACCGAAGGCCTAATCCTTCCCTTCCCCCAATCCCAAAATCTCCAAATCTCTAATCCTAATAAGGTTGTCGACACTCGTAACTCCTCCGTAGTTCCGGGTGTACATAGGCGGCGCTGATTGCTTACCGTCAAGTAATCCGTCAGTTAGTTTGCCGACTAAAAGAATCCCTACCTTTTCATCCCCATCACACATATGCGGGTTAAGCGCAATGAGTCACCGCGACCTCGGCCCAGAGCAGGAGAAGGAACGGCGGGGTTAACTCAGTAAGAGTCTGACACTCTCTCTCGCCTTACTCTGAGCGGGAGAAGTCATTTGATGATTTTCCCCTGACAAAAAGAAGTACCTGGTTATTCCAATCATGACAAAAAAATCCTTGTCAATTCCAAGCGTGATTCCAAATGATTTATCATTGAATTGTCGGAACCTAATCGCGTAGATACTAATTGCTTAAGTCTTCATTAAAGTTATGTAAACGGAAGCCCCGTACTAATGCTGCCTGCCATGTTCTTCATAAACAACCGACGTTTAAAACAAATTTTATAGCCTTTTGAATTAGTATTGTAGAACTGATAAAGGCGAAATTCTGTTGGAAATATTTGCTTGGCACTATTAAAGTTGTCTATACAAAGTACTGAACTGATCGATTTTTAACAAGTAGATAGAAAGAAGAAAGAAAGAAAGAAAACTGTTTTTATTCGGACTAAGACATGAAGGCCAAGAACAAAAAAAAACAAAATACAACAATAAAAAAAGAAAAACAAAGCAATCGAATTTTGAAGTACTCAACAGGACAACAAAATAAAATAAAAATAAAATTAATCAAAACAATAAAGTGAAAACAGCCTAACAAGGCCTAGATAGGTACGATGTGTTACAATAACAATACAAAATTTTCCATGGTGTTTGGTGACTGGGCTTCTCCCAGTTGTACAGTCTCTTCTGTGCCTTTAACGGCTCAGTCATTCTGTCTCCTACATTAAATTTACCGAAGGAAGTGGAAACTATTTCGTTTTTTTTTCTTCTCCTCAAATAATGTTTTCTGATTTATTTCGTTGCGGGATCCGAGACAGTCATTCATGTCTCTGGGACGCGCCGGACTTCAGTATTCCGGTGTTTTCATGGTTGTATCTACTTTGGACCCTGTTGCACAGGAGATTTGCTGAGCGCAGAGGTTGCGGTGGGCTTGACCCAATAAAAAACGTATGAGGTGTATTAGTTGATAAAGAAGTCAAGAAAAGTCAAGAATTGTGTTATGCAAAGTAATATTGGGGATTTATATGGTTCTTATATAACATAGTGAAAGCACAGGGGAATAGGAGCCCGGTTTATGATAATGCGTACCTTCGTTATTAGTGGAGCAAAGTTGATCATTAGTAACTTGTTGCAGAACATTTTTTTGCAGGCGTTCTAATAAATAACTTGCGATATCTGGTAATAAAATATGTAAAGTTACCACAGAGACATGTTGAAGGAAAACATGGTGTGGAAACCTGAACTTATACTTTCTAATCATAAGTTTGAAATCGCAAATCCGCCTTGAGCGAGAATGGATATAAGTGATGCTATGTGCACTTATAGGCTGATAATGATGATGAGAGCTCCTGTAATATAAGATAATGGTCTTACAACCACATCGTCTCAAAACAGGCTGTAGTTCCCCATGTAGTACATATACCTATTAAATCTGGACTATAAAACTTATTTAATGTCTCAGCAATTTAGCATTAATTCATTCAATTAATTAAGGTAAGCATGTCATGCTAAAACCAAAGCGTTGGGTCTTGCCGGACGATTGAGGTAATGGAACGCAATCCTTCCCCATCTTTAATCACTAATTTTTTTTTATGTAAT